ATTGAGAGCTGTCAGCATTTTGGTTAATTTTTGTATATCCTTGACAGTCGTCGGCTTCTATATCCTTGCACGGCTTGTACTTGATCAGGATTGACCTCTATACTGCGATAAGTGATCAGATATTCCAAAAATTTTCCCGAACTAACCCCGAAAGCACATTCGAAGCATTAAGCTTTAGGCCATTTTTTGGAGCAGGGTGTACGTTACTTTGAGATCTTGAAGACAACCGATTTTCACAATGTAGACCTCCATTGTGGCGTCGAGCTGCTACTTAAACATCTTATTCATCAGGCGCTGATAAGTGGCACTTTCAAGCCGAACGACATCATCGTGTAATAATAAATCCCTCGGGTGTGATGAACACCATTTTCTCCTAATCAGATTCATGCAATGAGATCTAATGGTAGCATGCTTAGGCATCCATAAAAGAGATATGCTCATGTCCCGCAGTGGCATCCACTAGCTGATCGACCTTCGGCAAAGGGTATTCATCTTTGAGGCATGCCTTGTTCAGATCTGTAAAATTCATGCAAACTTGCCCACTTTCTGCCTTTCTTCTTTGCACACACGGTGTTTGAGAGCCACTAGAGGAACTAGACTTCCTTGATTGATCTGGCTCTAAGCAACCTGTCTCTTCCTTGTCAACCGTCTATGCATGGTAAGGAGCTGTCCTCCGGACCTTTTGTTTCACTGGTTTGAAAGCAGATCAACGTGAAGTCGGTGGCACATCACCTCTGGATTTATTCCCGTCATCTCGGTGGGGTCCCATGCAAAGATGTTGGTGTTCCCAAAAAGGAAGTTTACCATCTCAGACCTCTCGGTGTTGACCAGTGATGCCCTCACCAGGAAAAATTTCTCCTCGTCCTCGGGATTTAGAAGGACCTTGACTAAAGCCTCCGTTGATCGATCAGCAGGGTCCGTGATGGGGTCATTGACTCTCGACCGATCAAACTGTGATTGCTATTTTGCCAACACAGCCTCGGGATCACGCTGTTAGGACTTAGCGTTAACCCCAGTCTTTATTGCAGCGCAAAAACATCTTTTCGGCGACGATTGGTCCCCTCAAATCTCCATGATTCCCCTTGGTGTGGGGAATTTTATCTTCTGATGGTACAATGAATGCACAACCTTCATGCATGCAACCATGTCCTGCCCACGATGCCGTTGTAAAGGAAGTCGAAGTTTATCACCACGAACTCAACCGGGACAATGACAACTTCGGCGGTGACCATGAGGGTAACCTTTCTGAGGGGGAGGGCATATGAACCGTTGAACTCTACAAGGAGGGTTTTTACAGGCTTCAAATCTTTCTAGATGAAACCCATCTTTCGGAAGAGACAATCATACATCACCTCAGATGAACTTCTAGAATCCACCAGGATCCTTTTGACATCAAACTTCTTGATCCAAAGGGTGATCACTGGGGCATCTTCATGTGGAAAGGCCAGCCCACTCAGGTCGGCATCCATCAATTGGATGACTTCGACATCAAGCTGACGTCTTTTAGAAGATTGCTTCCCAAATCTTGTTTCTTTTACCCTCACGGCTTATGCGACCCTCTAGAGGTCGGCACATAGTGAATTATAAGTGGGTTTGTATACCATGAAAGCGTGTATTACTTTAATCATAACAGTTTCTTCTTGGGATACACATGCTCCATCCCTTGTTGGACTCCTTAGGGTCGAGTCGTCAATGAATTCCCCGAGATGTCCTTCTCGAACCAGTTGCTCAAGGAATGACTTGTACACCTGGTAGTCTTCGGTCATATGCCCGACGTTTCGATTGTAAGACAATCAAGACGTCGAATCCCTGGATGCCAATTCCACTGGCATCTTTGGTGGTCACTTGCAGAAAAGCTCCTTCTTTATCTTGTGAAGCATTTTGTAAATGAGCTCCTTGAAGACCGAGCACACTCCTTGGAAAGATATGCAGCCTAGAGGCGGGGCCGGTGCTCCCCTCCTCGCGGGCGACTCCCTGTCTTGTTTTTTCATTACCAGAGCCCTAGGTTCTGGCACAGCCGAATCCTCCTCCACCCTCGCATATTTGTTTATGCGAGACATCAGGTCCTTCATGTCCATCGGAGCTCACTTAGTCAAAGAGTGATACATGTCGGTATCTCGATACAACCTTAATTAGAATGTTGTTGACGCCATAGTTCCTGAGCATGCCTCCACTTCGTTATTCTCTTCCCAATATCTTATGGAATATTGTCGAAGAGTCTCACTAGTTCTACGTTTGAGTGTAAGCAGAGCACTAATGTCTTTGGGCCTTTTGCTGTTGGTGATAAATTGAGCGAGAAATAGCTTGGACATCTGCCTCCAAGACTTAACACTTTTTGGGGCCAAACTCTCATACCACTTTATGACAATGTCCCCTAAGCTCATGGGGAACACTTGGCATAGTAACCTTTGATTAGTGTCATAGATGGACATCAGCTGCTTAAACTGTCGTAGGTGACTCTCGGGATTCGTCCTCCTATCGTAAACCTTAAAACGGGGGACTGTAAACTTCTTCGGTAGCTCGATCTCCTTGATAGCTTGAACAAATGGCGAGACAATCTGATCATCATCCTTCCTTCAGAGGGGTCTCCAACACTACGTCCAGAGGTCTTTTGTTCCTAGGCCCCCTCGTAGTTGAATTCGTGCAGGACTCTGTCGCCTCAGTACCTCCTGAGAGTCTGTGGTAGAGATCCCCACCGAACAGATCCAACCCGCGCCTTTTGCTACCTTCAAAACTCTCTTGGGGGGCGCGTCCCCCCATAACGCTGAGGAGTACGCTTCTCACCTAGGCATTCATGCAAGCTCCTTCCATGGACTTTTTCCCTTGCGCCCCAGGAATAACTCTAGTGGATATTCAAATCCTCGTGCCTGCTATTGCACCAACTGGTTCCCTTTGACTACTCAAAATTGTCGAGTCGGGTTCGCATGTTGGCGTTGCCCCCCAAGGCTTTGGTCCATCGGTACCGTCTCCTGAGAGACATACTGGGCTCCATCCGACAGGCTGAGTGCGGTTGATTCAATGATAGCTAGGGGGCGGCTAGCTTCTGCGTTTCTCATGCGTAGGCTATCCCCTAATTCTCCTTGAGATCGCGTGTTCACCATAACGTTATCGCTACAGGGAAAACTGGTCCTTTGATTCACACACACGGTGCCAAATTGCATAGGTGCTTTCCTGCAATATGTTGAGATAGCGATCCGCAGGATGATGAACCTGAAACAATCAAAAGGTTAAGAAAGGGGCCGGATGATCACCTGGCTAATCCCCTCCGAAGCTCAAGTTAGGCGGCATTGGAGACCTTAGTATTGTGTATTTTCTGAGTTTACGTTGCGTACCTTTTTTCATCTTTCTGAGGGGTATTTATAATTAGACTAATAATGAGTGTAGGATCTTTGAGTCTCATTTGCACATTTAATGGCTTGCACTCGCATCAATGTGTAATTAATGTTGTCCCATCAAATCCTCTCAAGACCAATTCAATCGAGCGATCTGAACCCTACTTGGCACCTGCTGAGCCTTAATGGTCCTATCTCCGACCATTAAATACCACTGCTCGGTGCTTGACTCCAACGCTCTAGTGTTCACTGCTTGGGAATAAGCACCCCTCGGGTTTCACCGAGGATAGAAGGTTGGCGCTTTCGCAATTAATGTTTTTATTGATGACTGTCCTCACACTTCTCAAGGATCTGGATGCGCATTTAAAGAGTTGTAACCACTCATGACCCTATTTAATGAACTGTCATATCTTCTTTAATGCCAGGTCTTGGCAGGTGTACTTGGCCTCTCTAGGCTTTATCTCCTCGGCACTGCTTCCTCCAGGCGCCCTTTGCGCTCTACACTGGCTACAATGATCCACGTGTCGACTTTGCGGCTACTGAACCGCCTAAAGTCCCGTCAATAAAGATATAAAATACCAAAAACTGGAGGGGGGGTTAAATGGCCAACAATGTTTGCATGTGTGATTTGAAAGGATAGAAATATACTAACCCCTAATCCTTCAACATTGTTTGCTTGGTCTTTTCCATTAGCAGGATGGAAGAAGCTGAACACGAATGGGTGCTCTAAAGGAAATCTTGGACCAGCAGAGATGAGTGACATCATTAGGGATGATCAAGGACACCGGATTAGAGGCTTCTATGGAAGACTCAATGACACAACGGGCCAATAAGTTGAATTTTGGGCAATTCTGAGAGGACTTGAACTTATACAAAGAAAGGGCTTTCAGGAATATCATCGTGGAGACTGAAACTCGAGGCGACAAGAACCCTGATTATAAACTTGGATGTTTCACATCCTAGCAGAATACTGGTGGCAAGATGCAAAATATTCCTGTTATCCATTCATTCAGGGAAGGCAACCAATGCGCGCGGACACGACGTTGGCAAATTTTGGAGTGCAGTAGCTGAAACCTTTAGTGAAGCTCAATTCTCCTATTCATATTAAAAAAATATACTAACATGTGTCATTTGTAACTACCTATCTGCTCCTCTACTAATTATCTACCATTTATTTAATTTATTTTAAAATTATATTAACTATCGAGTGATTATTTATAATTTGTATCAAATCAATTATAGTTATTAAATTAGTGATGAGACTCACTGATCTAATAGTTACAAGTGATTATATGTATATTTTTGGTGCTGATAGGATTACTCTTTTCACTAAGAGAGTGCTCTCTGAATCTTAATCGATGGGATATCACCTGTGAAAATCTAACATCTTATATGCTTGTGTTTAAGTTATATATATATATAGGGCCTACAAAGCTGTTGGATTTCTTTTCTCCAGCACGTTTTTCATGGCCAAAATAAACCATTATTTTTTCTTTTATTAGTGGCCCCAAACAAAAGGTTTGAAAAATGTCTGCTTTTTCTGGGCATCTCCACCAAAAGCAAACGCGGTGAAGGTTATAAAATATAGTCCATTAGAGCACGTTTACACAAAACAACAGAGAGCTAGCACACATGGTCCTTTTTTGATTGGCTCCCCCTCCCCCCCTGGGGTCACTGTGTGTGTCCAGTACATAGTACTAGTGGCAGTACTATTAAATATCAATATCTCCACCTCACAAACCTTCATCTCTATCTCTATCTCTATCTCCATCTCTATCTCTATCTCTCTCCCCTCTCTGTTGCATAACTATGATGCTCTCAAGGGTCTGGAGCCCTTCCAAAGTGGATGAAGAAAGTGATCATGACAGCAAGAAAATCAGATACAACGGTTCAGTATTTGTTGGCTTGCGGATTCTTACACAGCTTCAGCAAGGAGATTCCAATTTCATCATCAAATCCAGTTTAAAATTGAGCAAACCCACTTTTCCAATCAACAGGATTCCTCCACCCAGCTGTACTCATCAATCTTGCTTTCTCAAGACATGTCTTCTATGCAAGAAGAATCTAAGCCCTGATAAAGATGTGTACATGTACAGGTAAGAATGAATTTATATTCCTGTTGCAATTGCAAATTTATAAGAACACATAGAACAGAAAACTTAATAATTGAGGAAGATTTTGTAAGTTGTTTTGAACATCTTTTGTTTTTGTTTTTTTTCGTCTTGTGTTCGAATTTTGACAATTTTATGACCTATTTTTTACCGTACCAAAAAATGAATTAATCGATGAACACCTCCGACGGTTGAAAAAAAAAAAAAAACATGTCAAGCGGTTAATATATAAATATTTCATGAAGGAGTTTTTGGTGCAGGGGTGATCAGGGCTATTGCAGTGAAGAGTGCAGGAACAGGCAGATTTATGTGGATGACATGAAGGAATTAGAAGCTTCCGCCAAGAAAACACTATCATCCTTTGGGCATTGTCGAACAGGTTGTCGGTGTGAGACTCGAGTACTGTCAGACAAATTCCAGCACCGGTGTAAGCCATTGTCACATCCAAAGGATCGAGTCATATTCTCATAGCTCATGCCAAAGCCTTTCTGTAACTAATTTCTCCCAGGTCGAGCATAGGCAATACTTCAAAGTTGAAGAAAAAACAAAGGTGTAAGAGTGTGGGTGTTATGCATTGATACTTAGGATTGTGGGTGTTATGCATTGATACTTAGGATTGTGGAGGTTATTTCAAGGCCACATAACCGTATCCTTTTGTATTTTCCAACAGATATGCTTAGTTTATGTTAGCTGAAATAGATGGAAACGGTCTATTCATCGGCAGCATTAATATAATAGACAACTAGAAATGGGCTTCACTTAGATTATTTTTTTTTTTTTTTAATCAGGTGTTTCGGCTTGTGCCAACTATTCTTTTGAATTTTGAACCGACCATGTAACTCAAGTTATTTTAAAAATATGTCTTTTGAAAAATAAAGGTAGATGACTTTTAACCTGAGATCTCTTACTTATAAAAAGACAAATTTGGCCACAAAACTATCCTAAGAGTTGCCTTGGCCAAGATATTATTGCCGACACTGTTTGTAATAAATTTTACACATTCCCTCAGCCAGATCTTTTAGCTATGTGGGACAATACATTGGATTTATGTGAGCTAGTGATATTTATGTGGCAAGTCGGCCAATTTTTTGCATCCACACAAAAATTTGGTGTCACTGAATAAGGCATTAATAGACTAAACCATGGAAAGAACACCATGCAAGAAAAATGATTCTTTCGATTGCAACTTGTTAGTTTTCTTCTTCTTTTTTTTTTTTGACAAGAATTTGCCATTACATTTAGAGAGAGAGAGAGAGAGAGAGAGAGAGAGAGACACAAAGTAGCCACCATTTCAAGAAATTTTGCTAGTCCATCAAACTAGCATTTGCAATTTTGACTAACATTCAACATACAATAATTTTATGAAATCTATCTAATAAAGTAAAACAAGTTTTGAATTTCAAGATAAAAAGTGATTGAGATCATTTTGTGATAAAATAAGACCTCATTTGAGAGACAACGCTATCCTAATCTATCTCAACCTATTAATTTCTTGTATCAGTTCAATCTGACGCACCAAATTAACTCTTGAATTTTTTTGCCACCCAAAATTTAACTTCCAAAATTGACATACCAAATTTAATTCCCCAAATAATTGTGTCCCCCAAATTTTGCCCTAATACCCCGCCCCTCCCAATTGGTCAATACTGTTACTCTTCGTCTTTGTCTTTGTCTCTCTCACGCCCCCATTGAGCATAAAATCCGGTCCCCAATAATAATGCCTAATTGAGGAGATATGTTTTCCATTCTTTTCTTCTCTTTTATTCTTTCTATCTGATTCCCTCCCACCTCTCCGATGTCTCTCTCTGTTTGCCTGCTGAAAACGAGGGCAACCAACGTCGACAAAGAAAGGTATTCCCCATCTATAACACCCCGATTTTTCTGATTAGTTAATTGATAAATCAATTCATATATATTCCATACAATATATCTCCAAATACACAACATCAGAGCTCTAATTATTTTAATAAAAATTAAATTGATAATCAAATATCCAAACTCAGACTGATTAATCACACCCTGCTAGGCCATTATTACACCTTGTAGGGCCATAACCACATGTCACAAAATATGTCTTAAGTGCACTATGTACCAATCAATCACAAAATAATTAGCCAAATACAGCTCACTCAACAAAACATATAGAATTTCATATCAATCATAAATAGTGAATTGGAATACAAATTTCATATAATCAAAAGAACATTCTTTGCAAAGAGATTAAAAAATAGAAGCATATTGTATACTACCCTGTACCTCAAACCGTTAATTAACTCTAGTAGATGTGGTCAACATAACACCAAGAACAACATACTCAAATTTCATCTCGATCGGAATTTGTTTTATCGTTGATTTTTGACATTTCACGGATTTCTCGTTCAGTCTCCTCTTTCCTTCTTTCTTTTTTTTTTTTCATTTTCCTTTTCTCTTCTTTTTTCCCTCTTCCACTCAGTTATCTCTCTCTTTCTCCTACTCTCTTCTTCCTCTTTTCCTTCTTTACCTGGGCCAATCTCCAACCTCCAACCTCCCTATTTATAGTCACACATTGCTTTGTCATGCTGTGACATGTCACTGCCAAATTCTTCCATTGCTTTATCGTGCTTACCAATTGTCTTGTGTCATCTCGAGGTCTTTCCATTGCTTTGTCGTGCTCGCCACGTATCACCTCCATATCATTCCAATGTGTTACCATGTATCACCACCAGATTCATCCTTATCATTCCCTTGCTATGTCATACTTTCCATGCGCATGTTACACTCTATTTTCAACAAGAGTCTTATGACACATGAAACTTTACACTTATTAAACCTTCTCAGTTACTACGGGTATTTAACATTGCTTATTTTTTCCTCCAACACAAAACATATTCAATATTATTGTTGTTGGACTCCTCTTCACGCAAGAAATTCATTTTTTTATGTTTATTTTTCTATTTAAACTCTCATAGACATATAAAATCTTGAGTGTTTCATCCTTAATTATATATATTTTATAAAATCTAGCGAGCATCAGACTCTTTTCTTTCTCTATTTCGCATACAATTATGCAAAGATTTTGCCCACCAACCTTACCGCCCCCTCTTTTCACGTCCCCTACCGTCCATCACCCTCTCTATCACTTTCTCCTATCTTTCTCTTTTATTTGACACCCTCCCACCAACACATTCACATTAACATAATTTTTTTTCCTAATTACATGGAATGGTCTAAGAGAATCTACTTTATCTATGGCGGAAGGTGCTGGGGTGGGTTTTTTGGGCTTGGGGTGCCTCTTAGATTCCTCTTTTGCTACTTTATTTTTCCGTCGCATTGTCGCTGCTTATTATTTGTGAATATACCTCCCCCTCTCTATTTGCTTATTTTTCATCTATTTTGGGTCATACAGTGAGAACTGTAAGAAGTGAGGATTGTGGAAGTCTAAGCTTCCAGATTGTGAGCGATTTTTTTCCCAGGTTTTTGGTGTTGTTCTTTGGGTGATTGTGGATTAATTATATCCACAGTATATATTTCAGCATTGGCAAGGGATCATGATGGATCAGTTAGAAGAGCTCAAACCTCTTTGAATTCAGCCACGAATCCTATGATAATAGAAGCCTTAGCATCAAGAAATGTAGCTCTTTGGGTAGAAAGACAAAGCTGAAACTATGTCACCATCGAAAGGGATTCCCAAATGGTGGTTCACGTAGTCATGCTATCACAAGTAAGGACACCATGGAAAATCTTGACAATAGTTCAAGATCTGAAGCAAATTTTTGGGAATCATCTCGATTGGAATATGGTACATGCTTTCATGTCCAAGACAATTGTCAAACTTACCATAGGACCAATATTCATTGTTGTAAATAGAGGCGTGACATTATATTCTTTCCATTCTTAGAAGATATCGTAGTTTTAGGATACGTAGAATAGGGATCTTAATTGATTCAGTTGAGCTATAGAGTAGGGCATATTGCTGTAATCTTGGGATGGAATATTCTATTTAAGGAGAAAAACTCAGACAATGAGATGGTCGAATTTTCTAGCAACTTTTGTGTTCTTGTTTTGACATGGTATTAGAGCCATTCTCTTCCTTCCTTACATCGTCTTGATGTTTTACTACAATTTGGTTTCATCACATTTTGCCCAATTGACTCAAGTTTTTGAGTCTTTTTTAGCATCAGAGGTAATTCTATTTTTTTTTTTTGAAATTAAATCCTTTTGGGTAAAGTTTAATTTCTTGGGGATAAGATCTTTGGTTGCTTGCATTCATCTTGGTTGGTTCCTTTCATTATCGTTGGTTGGTATTTTTGGCACATTTTAGACTAATAACTTTGTGGATTTCTCCTCTCTTTGACTAGCCAACAGTAATTTTGTTGAGTATTGCGATCAAGTTGAATCTCTTCTAAAGGATAAGACTTGTCTTCTATTTTCGTGGCCTGATTTACTCCTTCTAACCAAATATGTTTATTGAAAAATTTTGATTTCCTTTGTGTTCGATTTTTGGAGAAAACTCACTTTTTTTGGGAATTTCAATTCCAAACTTAATACAAATACTACCGAAGTTGCTGAATGGGAAGTATATGATGTTCGTATCATGAGTTGGGTATTGAGTTCTGTTGACTCTCACACTGTTTTAAATCTCCGACCATATAAAACAACCAAATGTATGTGGGAATATTTGAAATGGGTTTACAACCAAGAGAATGATATTCGCAGATTTCAATTGGAATTTGACATTTCCAACTACACTCAAGGGAGTCATTTCATCCAAGAATATTACTCAAATTTTATTAATTTGTGGAGTGAATATTCTGATCACCGTGTCGGATGAATAATTATCTACTATTCAAAAAGTTCATGAAACTAGCAAGAGAGATCAATTCTTGATGAAATTGCATCCATATTTTGAAAATGTTTGGTCCATCTTGACGAACCGAGTTCCTTCACCATCTTTGGATACTTGTTTGAGTGAACTTCTCCATGAGGAGCAACGCCGCTTTACACATGCAACCATGGAACAACAAAACGTGACCAATTGTCCTCTTAATGTGGCTTATGCAGCACATGGCAAGCAAAAAGCTCGGGACATGAGAAATACTCAACGTTATAGTTGTTAGGAGTCGGGTCATATTGCAACACAATGCCAAAAGAAAATTTGCAATTATTGCAAGGAAAAAAGACATATTATCACAGCAAGTCGAAAACGGCCACAAAACCGGAGTCAAGGAGCATTTCATGCCACAAGCAACGTTCCAGATTTTGTTTTTGCTTCTAATACAACCTTGATTCCCCAGCAAGAAGATATCCTGTTGCTACCAAATTTCAAGCTTTTGATCAGCAGCTCTCTCCATCTACAATTGCTGCCCAAGGTCCTATAACACTTGAAATGATCCAACAGATGATTCTATCTGCTTTTTCTGCCTTCAGGCTTACAAGTAATAGTCTATCTCATGCAAAGCTTGGGTTTTTTTTTATTCTGAAGCCTCCAATCACATGACATATTCCTCCAAGAATCTCACTAATGTCAAAACAATTCAAAAATTCATACAACAAATGGAGATTCTGTGCCCATTAATACCATTGGTGATGCCTCTCCAACTTTGCAATGCTAAAATGAAGGATATGATTTGGTCAATATTTGAT